TCGTTACAGAAATCGTAAACCTTATTGATTTATCTGTCCACAACCTGCTTGTATGTAAACCTCCATACACTATTACAGAACCACTAGCAATGAGTCAGTCTCCAAAATAAGAGGGTGAATATCTTGCTACGTACAACATTCCAAGCCTTGTACAATAGCCTTAGTCTCAGCTACAACACTAGTTATTATCCCCAAGTCCACAGCCCTTGCATACATCAAATCTCCTTCTTCGTTTCTCACACAAAAACCTAGTGAACTAGGCCCAGGGTTACCTTTTGAAGCTCCATCGGTATTGCATTTGAACCATCATATATACGGCGCTTGCCATGTGATAGCCTGATTATCAATAGTCTGTTTATATCTTTCAAGGTAGCTTATCAAGTCTGGCCAAAGCAATAGCATATTTGATAACCATGGATACCTCACCCTTGCCAAGTAATGCAAAGTTTTGTTAACTTCATGTATGACTCTACTGGTTGATATTATTCCTCCATTCATTCCTGTGTTCCTCCTTTTCCACAACTCCCATGTAATTATGGCTGGCGCTACCTGAAACAACAACTTCAATTTTGAGCAACACTTAGTATTCCACCAAGCCCTTATCACTTGTTTTACATGCACCAATGCTATATTAATCCCAGCTGCCCCTAAGAATGTTCTCCAAACCTTATTAGCTGTAGGGCCAGTTAAGAATATGGGCTCAATTGTTTTCTCCTTAGGTTGAAGACAACACCAACATCTGGACATAAATATGTAGCCTTGCCTTCTCCATACATCATCAGTAGCCACCTTGTGCCTCCATAATCTCCACAAAAATATTGATATCTTGAATGGCAAACCTTTGATCCATATATTTTTGAACTCCTGATTAGGATTTGCTATATGTCTTTGAATCTGCCAAGCACTACCCACAGTGAACTTACCAGAAGCCGTTGGCATCCAGTATGGCTTATCCTATAATTCTTCACTGCCTCCGTACTGAACATTTAGTTTAATGCTCAGCAATTTCTTCTGTAAAATTCTGAGAAAGCAACTGTTCATTCCATGTTCCCTCTTGCCTTAGTTCAACCACCTCTTGTAATTCCTCATTAATTGGAAAATCTTGTGGTAATACATGATATAGTGCTTATAATCCGGTCCAATTTCCGTGCCATATGTTTGTGGTTCCACTCTTCATTTCCCACAATATTTCATGTTCCACTTATTCCCTAGCTGTCAGCATTTGTCTCCAAATATTAGAGCCTCTTCTAAATTGCACCACTGTTGGTATTTCCTTTTTGCAATACTTATTACACATGAAGTTAGTCCACAAAGATTTAGTAGTTCTGAACCTCCACCATAGTTTAGCAAACAAAGCTTTTGATACATCATGGAGAGACCTAAACCCTAAACCACCTACATATTTGGGAAGGCATAGATTCTTCCAGGAAGCCCAATGTCTGCTCCTATCTTCCTGTTTGTTGCTCCAAATGAAACGTGCAAATATTTTATGCAAGTGGACAAGAATGTTGTTAGGTGGATCCAACACTGATAGTAGGTGCACTGGCATACTTTGCAACACACTGTGTTGCCTTTCTACCAAAAGAGAGAAGTTTTCCTTTCCAAGAATGCAATTTAGCCTTTACTTTCTTTACAAGATCATCATAGTAATCCTTTCTCCTTATAGTGTAGAAGATTGGACACCCTAAATATGTGAATGGGAACTCTCCTCTAGCAAAATATGTAATGTTACCTACTGACCGGCACAAATCATGTGTAATATTGGTATGCATGTAATACGAGATCTTAGCTTTGTTGATCAGTTGTCCTGATATCTGTTCATATCTGCCCAGTATTCCAATGATCTTACTCAGTGAAGGAGGATGAGCTGAGGCAAATATTATTGTGTCATCAGCATATGCCAAGTGGTTCAAATGACACGACCACTTGGACATACCAAATCCAATGAATGACTTGTCTTCAAAGAGCTGATTCAAGGACCAAGACAGTAATTCAACTGAAAAAAGAATAAAGTAGGTGATAAAGGATCTTCTTGCTTTACTCCCCTTGTGGACTTGAAGAAACCTGAAGACTGCTCATTCACCAATACTGAATACTAGTTGTTTGACACCAAATTGCAGACCATATTAGTAAAGGCTTCTGCAAATCCCATTCTTCTTAGTAAATGTAACATATATTTCCATGAAATCCTATAATATGTATTTGCCATATCCAACTTAATGACAACATTGGCAGGTTTTCCTCTCAATCTTATGTCAGTGACTATTTCCTGAGTGAGTAGTATGTTTTCAAATATGCTCATCCCTTTCACAAAACCAGATTGATTAAGATATATTAGAGAAGGTAAGAACCTCTCCTATCTATCATGTAGAACTCTAGATTAGGGAAAGAATCAGAATGATTCCAAAATATTCATTACTAGCCTAGCAATGTCATTTTAGTGCTACCAAATTGTTGTGTTCTTGTTAGTTCGTGCCCAAGAATCTGAATGATTCCAAAATATTCATTATTTTTTTCCTTTTCTTCTTTTGCAAATATACCACTAGGCCAGGCGCCAAGTTTTGCGTTCCAACGGACAAGGCAAATGTGAAAATTCATGCAACACCATGAACTTCCGGGGCTGACCAAATATCCAAGGAGTATGTAGGTACGCTGCTAATGAGCTTCCCTTCTCTGTACTTACGAATGTATGCTGAATGTACCAAGATAAATGCAGCAGAAGCTGCTAATAGTAGCCAGGATGCACTGCCATGACATCTCCAGATTAGGTATGTAAACATGCCAATACCACTGAATAATATCCTAACAGTACACATATTTACAATGATAGTGAATATACCTTCTAACAACATTGGAACCAGACTAATGCTCACTATATATTGTATGGTTAACTGAATCACTTCCTGCTTGTATATACACCTCCATATCCTATTAGAACACCACCGGAATGAGCATGATAACATGCTAATACCACTGGAAAGTGCCCTAGCAGTCTACAGAATACAAAAATAACAGAGAAGCTAGCACGAATGAAACTGTATTGTACCTATCTTTGCACTGAAGTTGTTGCAGTATAACCCAATATTGTTGTTGATCCTGTTGTTTGATGGAATTTGATAACCCCCGTTGAAATCCAATTAGTTAAGTGGAACTCCAAGTAACACCATCAATTGTAAGCAACCAAGAATCCAAGTAGATTCCCAATTCCATGAACAATAATTTTATCTAGTGAAGTCTAGACCAATAGCCTAATATGTTGAAAGCTTGTTATTGTGCAATTTAATTCACATGCTTACAATGCCATAACACCTCCAGTTTGGACATGTATACTTGTCAATACCACTTAAAATTTCCATGAAATTAAAAAGCATACTACTCTGAAACAGAACACCTTCTATTACTGTTAATTTCCAGCTTTGATCCTTCATACATTCTTGTCGCAATGGGGTAATGTAGTTAATAAACATACTGCTCCAAATTGTATGAAGTTGTACATGGAAGAAGTAACCTATATGTATATAAAAAAAGCACCTGGTAGTATAATTTGTGACTGTGACTCCAGCAGTAGCCAATACACTAATACACCAATCTAAGTAAGTATGTATACTGCCCTTACTTTGCAAGTTTAGGCGTGAATACCACCTGCTAACCTGGCAGTATACGTGTACATGGAATCACCTATCACCTATCAGCTTAGTGAATATAACTGGATCCCAGTAATTAGGATGTTCTAACATATGGTAAGTAATATATAAGCAGAAGCAAAATCATTAGGACATGCTGTGAATTATCGTTAGTCATTACAGAAATCGTAAACTTTATTGATTTATCTGTCCACAACCTGCTTGTATGTAAACCTCCATACACTATTACAGAACCACTAGCAATGAGTCAGTCTCCAAAATGAGAGGGTGAATATCTTGCTGCGTACAACATTCCAAGACTTATACAATAGCCTTAGTCTCAGCTATAACACTAGTTGTTATCCCCAAGTCCACAGCCCTTGCATACATCAAATCTCCTTCTTCGTTTCTCACACAAAAGCCTAGTGAACTAGGCCCAGGGTTACCTTTTGAAGCTCCATCGGTATTGCATTTGAACCATCATATATACGGCGCTTGCCATGTGATAGCCTGATTATCAATAGTCTGTTTATATCTTTCAAGGTAGCTTATCAAGTCTGGCCAAAGCAATAGCATATTTGATAACCATGGATACCTCACCCTTGCCAAGTAATGCAAAGTTTTGTTAACTTCATGTATGACTCTACTGGTTGATATTATTCCTCCATTCATTCCTATGTTCCTCCTTTTCCACAACTCCCATGTAATTATGGCTGGCGCTACCTGAAACAACAACTTCAATTTTGGGCAACACTTAGTATTCCACCAAGCCCTTATCGCTTGTTTTACATGCACCAATGCTATATTAATCCCAGCTGCCCCTAAGAATGTTCTCCAAACCTTATTAGCTGTAGGGCCAGTTAAGAATATGTGCTCAATTGTTTCCTCCTTGGGTTGAAGACAACACCACCATCTGGACATAACTATGTAGCCTTGCCTTCTCCATACATCATCAGTATCCACCTTGTGCCTCCATAATCTCCACAAGAAGATTGATATCTTGAATGGCAAACCTTTGATCCACATATTTTTGAACTCCTGATTAGGATTTGCTATATGTCTTTAAATCTGCCAAGCACTCCCCACAGTGAACTTACCAGAAGCCGTTGGCATCCAGTATGGCTTATCCTATAATTCTTCACTGCCTCCGTACTGAACATTTAGTTTAATATGCTCAGCAATTTCTTCTGTAAAATTCTGAGAAAGCAACTGTTCATTCCATGTTCCCTCTTGCCTTAGTTCAACCACCTCTTGTAATTCCTCATTAATTTGAAAATCTTGTGGTAATACATGATATAGTGCTTATAATCCGGTCCAATTTCCGTGCTATATGTTTGTGGTTCCACTCTTCATTTCCCACAATATTTCATGTTCCACTTATTCCCTAGCAGTCAGCATTTGTCTCCAAATATGAGAGCCTCTTCTAAATTGCACCACTGCTGGTATTTCCTTTTTGCAGTACTTATTACACATGAAGTTAGTCCACAAAGATTTAGTAGTTCTGAACCTCCACCATAGTTTAGCAAACAAAGCTTTTGATACATCATGGAGAGACCTAAACCCTAAACCACATTCATATTTGGGAAGGCATAGATTCTTCCAGGAAGCCCAATGTCTGCTCCTATCTTCCTGTTTGTTGCTCCAAAAGAAACGTGCAAAGATTTTATGCAAGTGGACAAGAATGTTTTTAGGTGGATCCAACGCTGATAGTAGGTGCACTGGCATACTTTGCAAAACACTGGTAATTAGTGTTGCCTTTCCACCAAAAGAGAGAAGTTTTCCTTTCCAAGAATGCAATTTAGCCTTTACTTTCTTTACAAGATCATCATAGTAATCCTTTCTCCTTATAGTGTAGAAGATTGGACACCCTAAATATGTGAATGGGAACTCTCCTCTAGCAAAATATGTAATGTTACCTACTGAACGGCACAAATCATGTGTAATATTGGTATGCATGTAATACGAGATCTTAGCTTTGTTGATCAGTTGTCCTGATATCTGTTCATATCTGCCCAGTATTCCAATGATCTTACTCAGTGAAGGAGGATGAGCTGAGGCAAATATTATTGTGTCATCAGCATATGCCAAGTGGTTCAAATGACACGACCACTTGGACATACCAAATCCAATGAATGACTTGTCTTCAAAGAGCTGATTCAACTGACAAAATGAATAAAGTAGGTGATAAAGGATCTTCTTGCTTTACTCCCCTTGTGGACTTGAAAAAACTTGAAGACTGCCCATTCACCAATACTGAATACTAGTTTTTTGACACCAAATTGCAGACCATATTAATGAAGGCTTCTGCAAATCCCATTCTTCTTAGTAAATGTAACATATATTTCCATGAAATCCTGTCATATGTATTTTCCATATCCAGCTTAATGACAACATTGGCAGGTTTGTCTCTCAATCTTATGTCAGTGACTATTTCCTGAGTGAGTAGTATATTTTCAAATATGCTCATCCCTTTCACAAAACCAGATTGATTAAGAGATATTAGAGAAGGCAAGAACCTCTCCAATCTATCATGTAGAACTCTAGACATTACTTTATTGATAAAGTTGCTCAGACTTATTGGTCTTAAGTCTGAGAAAGTCTGCACCCTTGGTTTCTTTAGTAGCAGCACAAAATTAGTATGAGTAATAGACTCTAGCAAAGGTTCACCACCATAGAAATGCAGAATCATATTATGTATGTCATAGCCAATTACTTTCTAGCACTCTTGATAAAATAGTATAGTAAAACCATAAGGACCACTGGCACTATCTCCATTTAGCATAAAAACTGCATCATTAACTTCCTCTAGTGTTGGAAATCTACACAACTCCAAGTATTGTTCCCCAGTAACCATAGTAGGTACATTCTCCAGCATGGAAAAATCTATAGGATTCGCTTCATTAGTGAACTGATTTTGATAGAATTCAACTGCAACATTGGCCATTTGTTCTTGATCTTCCAACTAATTGCCATCTCCATTCTGGATCCTTTTCAGTTGTAACTTCTTTCTTTTACCATTGACATGGTTGTGGAAGAAAGTAGTGTTCCTATCACCCTCTGCAAACCGCGTCATCCCAGCTTTATGCTTCCAGTATTGCTCCTCTATACTCAAGTATTTTTTCAATTCTACATGAGCTTGTTGAAGGACTATTCTATTCTCAATTGTTCGCTCTTCCTCAAACAACATCTCTTTGAACTTCACAATGTCTTCCAGTATTTCCAATTGCTTGAAAATGCCTCCAAAGGTATCCCTACTCCATTTAGATAATGCTGACCTTACCCTCTTAAGTTTATGTTTGAACATAAAAAAAATGGATCTCCAATGAAGTCAGCATTCCAATTTTGCCTTACCACTCGATAAATGTAGCATGTTTTGTCCAGAAATTCAAGAATCTGAAAGGCTTTACAAAGTTTGTGGTTTGTTCCCCACAAGTCATTAGCAATGGTGCATGATCTGAACCTGTCTTGATTAAGTGTTCCACTTCAGTTGTTGGAAACAGGTTTTGAAATTGTAAAATGACAAAAATCCTGTCCAATCTCTTAAAAATACACTCTGAATTAGGTCTACCACTCCACCATGTAAATGGGTTTCCTTTATAATCATGATCAAACAAACCACATGAGTTTACACAAAAAGCAAAGTCCTCATATTCAGGTGGATGTACTGGAAGCCCCCCTATCTTTTCATCTTCATGTAGTATCACATTAAAGTCACCTCCCACCAACCAAGGTAATTCCATGTCACATGCTAAACAATACAAGTTATCCCATAATTCTAGTCTCTCCACAGAGGAGCATTTTGCATACACAAAGTTCATCATAATGTGCTGGCTAATATCATGGTGGAACACCCTTACAACCACTTGTTGAGCAGTTTCTGTAACCAACTCCCATTCAACCACAGAGTTGAAGAACAACCATATCTTCCCATTCAAATTTGAGAAGGTTGTTTCCATGTTCAATATGATCAAATATCTTTGAAGATGCCTTGGTTTTTGAAAAAGCTCCATTAGTGCTATCACACAGAAATTGTGCTCCCTTTGCATATTGATCACCCTAGGGAAGGTCTGATGAGTATTGACAGACCTAATATTCTAAATTAAGGACTTGATCATCATTTAGTTTGCGAGGTAGCCCTTATGGGCAGGATTCTTTTTGGATGAGGAATATCTTTAGTTTTGCCATTTTTCCTTCCTTTTTTGCCAGTCATATCTCCAGCTCTGGGTGATTAATTTGCTTCCCTTGCTACTGCGTTAAAGTTTTCTACTGTTGATTCATCCTCCCCTTCTTTCCCACATTTGTCTTGATAAGTTGTTACGTGCTGAGTCTCTCCTGGTGTAACAGTATGTGTAACCAGTTCATGCAACACTTGAATAGGGGACTTCGAAGGAACTTTTAGTTGAATGTGTAAGGGAACCCCAGTTGCAGAAACACACGCTATTGGAGTTATCTCATTGAATCTGATTGATGAGGTACCATAGAAAATTTTGGCTCAACTCCAGTTGTTTCTTCTAGCAACATTTCATTTTGAATTCCAGTTCCAAAGATTTCTGACAGGTTTTGTGATTGAATTTGTTGGGGAGTATACCGTTTCAGTTATGGCCAGGTGTTGTCCATCAACAATTTTAGAGTCTTCCTTGTTTGATTTTTGATGCACGTCTACATTAACATCCCTAATCTTCTCACTTGTTGTAACTCCCTGATGTGAACCTTCATCATTGGATATAAGCTCTCCATTTGGGCAAGGGTTTGCTTTAGTTATGTTGTTCACTTGGGTTGCCTGTTGTAGTATTGTGTTAGATCTTTGATCTTCTACTTATAATCTTTTATTTGCCACACAACTGTACTCAGACTCTTGTACTTCATCACCCCTTAGTTGTATGTAATTTCTAATAGCTCCAGTAGACTTAGGTGATTCCACACAGGTCTAAGAAGGTATCTCCAGACATGTATGGTCTAGGGTCACATTAAGAGATTTCTTGTATTTTCCAAAGCTCCTTTGGACCCGGCCCATTGTACTTTCCTTTGTATCCACAACTTTAAGCATTGTGGCACTAGGATCCTGGGTCATAGTCAATTCTGTACCCTTAATAGTGGAGCTGGAATTAGCAATAGGCCCCTTATGTTGCTTCCCCTGATTATGATTGGATTCATATGTTTGTTGCTTCTATTGTGGGGCTTTGTTCTTGTTCTTCTCTTTCCCATAAGAGTTATTAAGCACAGGAGTTTCACCTCCAATAACTGTCTCTAATTGATTGTTGGCATTTGTGGCATTATCATTTTGTGAATTCCGAACGAGCTGAACAGTTGGTCTTTTAGCAATGCATATTGGTTGTTTCTTCTTGGTGTTATTCTGTACAATTCCTTTGAATTTATTATTTTTCTGTGTTTGCCATTATTCTTGTGAAGGATTTGCCTTTATGTTCTGCCTTTATTCCCTGTCATGTGGTTGATCTTTTTTGTGTGTGATTTGCAGTTGGTGGTGAGAGTGCTGCCTTTGCTGTACTGCTAGATTTTGTTGTTCTAGTGGTTGCTCTTGTTTTTGTACAGTTGAAGTGGACTTCTCTTGCTGCATTATTTCTTCATTGGTTATTCCAGATGCTTTCTTTTTTTGTTTCTCATCCTGTATGGATTTTGCTGGGCATGTATGAATTGTATGTTCTAGGTGTCTACAGTAAGATCAGTAGACAGGTAAGCTCTCATATTGTATTTCCAACCATTGACCATCACCATTTTCATCTTGGTTTTCATCATACCCTAGCCAAACATGTTGAGGTCTTTCTTTCGTTAAGTTAATCTGCATTTTCACCTTAGCAACATTGCCTCTTGTTTTTTGAAATGAAGCTAGATCAAGGAATAATGCTTTTCCCACATGAGACAGTAATGGTGTAAGGATTTCCATGTTGTAAAGATTCCATGGCAATTCTGGAATGATAATCCAAACTGGTACTATTGGAGAGTCTTTATTGGGATTGAAGAGAGGTGTCCAAGCTTCAAGTTTCATCATTTGGCCTTGAATGTACAAGAATTATTTATTCCACACTGTTGCATGATCATATTCATTGTCCAAGCTTGAATTTTTTACTTGTTCTTTGGTTCCTGCAGGAAGCTGTAGTTTGTTGTTAATTTCAGGGTGTAATGTGCTAGAAGGAGGAAATTGTGGTACTTGGCTTGTGTTGATTAGTTCTTCTAGTAGGTCGATCAAAATTGGCAGAGATTTTAGGCTGGGTTTTTATTGGATTGGAGCGGAAACTACTGAGCTGCTGATGGGTAGTTTTGGATGTGAATTCTCCATTTTTGGCATCCTGTGACACAACTTGTTCTATGTCCCTGTGTATCTTCGTTTTGTTAATAACATTGCTCAAGTTTGGAGCAGTAAGTTCACCTTGGTTTAGCACAGCCTGAATCACAGGATCAACATGTTCTTGCCCCGTTGAGGTGGCTGAGGGTGACTGCCTTTGAGCGTTTGTCATATGTTCTTATAAATTGGCATTTTGTCGAGCAGAAGGCAGATTAGCTGTGATGACCCAAAAGGTCATCTTATATTTTAGAACTCAAATCTGCGCTCTTAAGCCTTAAAATCTAATTTTTACCCTCCTCGATATGCGTGTGTAGTCCGGGCATGTTTTCGGAAAGCTTTTATGTTGAAAATTAACGAAAATAAGAATTTATGCCCTAAAAGTTACTTTTAGTTGACTTCGATCAACAATTTTAGTAAACAGTCCCGGATCCATGTTTTGACGGTCCCGGTGGGTCATGAGACCTGGGCGTATGCCCATAATCGAATTCGGAGGTCTCTAGCTCAAGTTATGAATTTTTGATTAAAATTAAAAGTTTGGAAATTATTTGTTTTTAAGAATTGATTGATATTTGGCATTGTTAGTATCGGGTCCGTATTTTGGTTTCGAAGCCCAGTACAGGTTCATTATGATATTTAAGACATGTCTGTGAAATTTGGTGAGAAACGGAGTTAATCTGACGTGATTCGGACGTCCAGTTTAGAAAATAGAAATTTTAAAGTGTTCTTGAGAACTTCATTTGATATGGTACTAAATTCGGAGTTCTAGGTGTTATTTTGGCGATTTGATCGCGCGAGCAGGTCCGTATGATATTTTTAGACTTGTGTGCATGTTTGGTTTGGAGCCCCGAGGGCCCGGGTGAGTATCAGATAGGCTACAGTGTGATTTGCACTTAGAAAATCTGAGATTGTGCTGCAGCAACTGTTCTGGTGTGCCCTTCTTCGCGTTCGCATAGGTAGTGTCGCGAACGCGAAAGGTAAAATAGGGGCAGGGGAATTTTTTTCTTCGCGAACGCGAAGGACTGGTCGCGAATGCGAAGCGTTGGGGATGGTACCCTTCGCGAACGCAATCTGTCTCACGCGAACACGATAGTTTAAGGGGCCTAGGGGAGGGGGTCATGTTCTTCTACGCGAATGCTTCCACTGGGTCGTGAATGCGAAGGCTTGGGGGAGCTGCCTTACGCAAACGCGTAGAGATACTCGCGAACGCGAAGGCCTCAGGCCGCTGTGCATCGCGATCGCGACAGGCCTCTAGCGAACGTGATGAAGGCCTGTCCAGCGACTTAAAATAGACTCTAAACACGGGTTTGAGCCATTTCTTCAACATTTTTCAAGAACCAAACGAGTAGAGGTGATTTTTCAAGAGCCATTTCTTCCCCCAAATTGTTGGTAAGTGATTCTAAACCATTTTCTTTCAATTATCCATTACATTTCTTGAATTATCAACCTAAAATCTAGAGTTTTCATGGTAGAATTAGGGGTTAGGGTAGAAATTAGGGATTTCGGGAATTTAGGTATTTAGACCTCGATTTGAGGTCGGATTCCAAAACTAATTACATTTTCGGGCTCGGGGTGAATGGGTAAAAGGATTTTGATCCGAACCTCAGGTTTTGACCAAGCGGCCTCGGGGTCGATTTTTTGACTTCTTTGGAGGAAACAAAATTTGGAAAATTTAATTTATGAAATACAATTGATTCCTTTAGCAATATTTGATATTATTGAGTCATTTTTGAATAGATACGAGTGGTTTGGAGGTAAATTCCAAAGAAAAAGTTGTGATTGAGAATTAAGTGGCATTCAGAGCAAGGTATGTATTGTGTCTAACTTAGTCTTGAGAGAATAGGTATTATGTGAGTATTTGCTACGTGTTTTGTTCTTGAATACGATGTATAGTTGAGGTGACGAGCATCTATGCGTTGTGGTCTAGTCATAGCATGCGAGTGAAATTCTATTATTACAAATTTGTAGTCTTAAATCTTGTTATCCATGCTTATTGTTGTTGTTGAAATGTTGGGAGACTTTTATCCGGTTCCACCAAGGTTGATAAAATTGTGAATATTTATTCAAGGTTAAGATGTTAAATTGTGAAAGTAATCATTGATGAAATATTGATTTCTTTGTGAAACTTCTCTGTATCCGTTGTTATTGACTCTGTTAATTGTGAGGAAGAGTGTAAAGCATGAAAGGTGATACCGTGCATGATTTATTTATATTGTGAGGAAGAGTGTAAAGAACGAAGGGTGATGCCGTGCATGATTTATTTATATCGTGAGGAAGAGTGTAGAGCACGAAGGGTGATGCCGTGCATGATTTATTTATATAGTGAGGAAGAGTGTAACGCATGAAGGGTGATGCCATGCATGAATTAATTATATTGTGAGGAAGAGAGTAAAAGCATGAACGGTGATGCCGTGCAGTCTTATTTATTATATGGTGAGGTTGAGAGTAAAAGCACGAAGGGTGATGCCGTGCAGTTTGCCTTGCTGTTTCAATTGCTCAATTTGTTTAAGGATTTTCGGTTTAATTCTGCCTTTTCATTATTCTCACTCTTTATATTGTATTCCCCCACTATATGTTCCCTTCCCATTATTTCTGCATTATTTCTTTATTTACTATTGTTGCCACTAACTTGATTGTACTGTTCAGGTCATATGTGGGTGTCTTGTCCTAGCCTCGTCACAACTTTGCCGAGGTTAGGCTCGACACTTATCA